AAGACGAAAAAATTATCCAAAGATAACTCCTCCGCCACCAACACAAACAGAACCTCCGCCCACTATTAAACCGGAACCTCCAACCAGACCTCCAACCACGACTACTATAAAACCAGAGGAACAAGAAACAAAGCCCACAACTGCAACCACCACCGCGACAACAACAACTGTCGCACCAAAGAAAGAACAAGAAGAACCCGAGACAGTATCTATCATGGAAACTAAGAGACAAAGACTAGACACTCAAGAGGATGAATCATACGGACCGAATCTCGCAGTGGCGAAACACGCTCAATCGCTCTTCGGCATCCACTACTATAAGACAGATGTCACGGTCACCCGAAAACAACACCTTACATTGGCTCAATACAAACCTGCGGACACGGGGATCACTCAATACTACGTCACATGTATCCCGTATCAGATATTCGAATTTTGGACAGTTAATAAGGGTGGTGACAATTTTAGAGACCCTCTTGCGAACCTCGTCGCAGTTTACGACTACATACATTATAATTCTGGTTCTATTCGCTCTAGCCATTTTGTACCACTTCAGCAAAGTCTTAGTTCGACTACGCAACAAGACACGCCAGCGCTCAACACAACCCCGTACGCATACATAGCCAAGGACTCACTTGGCATCCTAGATGGGATCACATCACCAACAGCCATTGATATTAATACCATGGTCAACCAACAAATAAAACTACCCAGCAATACATACTGGAACAAAGACAGTGACGAGGGTCTACTGGGATTAGCAAATGTCAAGACATTCCACCAAGGTGAAACAGTCCACTACAACTTCAAATTTGACAACCAGATGAACTGCCTGAAACAAAAAACGCCCTGCTGGGATAATACTTTCGGACACTACTTCCCACTAGCCGCTGGGAAACCATTGAACACTGGGATAGCAATGAACATACAATTGAACGAGACCCAAGCAGGATACCAATACAAAATACCGGAGTACGATCTACCCTTCCTATTCCTCTTCCTACCATTCATCGAACAAGTCAATAACACGGAAACCATTGCTCGCCTATACGCCCACTTACTCATGGAAACTCAACTCAATTTCACCCTATGGACTGTCCCGGATGGAGCCAAACACTTAACGGGAAATATGCACAACAAGAATCAATTGGAACCGGT